CGGAGTTAAGATTTAATGTTTTAATGTTATTATGTTTACTTATTTAACGTTACAAAAGAAATCGTTTATATTGCTTGAGAAATAAAGACTATATATACAAAGTTTTTATTGATGAAAAGATATTTAAAACAGTGGTGGGTTCATTGAGATGTAATTATTATCAGAACTGATATCTAATTGTCCGTAAGAAAAGAGTTATCGTCGTCAGTTGCTTTGTTTAAAAGATTGTAAATTATTATTGAAATGAAATATATTTATTTCTATACAAGCATAGCATTTTCAGAGAGTTATCAGCTTATACCGAAAATCGAAAGTTTTAATCTTATTGGTATTGATATTTTTATTTCATATATAATAATTAATTTATATTCAAATATTTGAGTCAATATTCCTTAAATATATAATAAAATTTTAATAGAAAATATTCCAATTATTATTATTTTTTTTTACTATCAGCCGCTGAACAAGAAATAGGTACATATAACGAAACCAAAACTGTATGAGTTATATTTTAAGTGTGTCCTCTAAGACTAGGGGTAGTCTGAGTGCTCGGTACCAACATTCAACATCACTCTATTCACATCAAGTCTCCATCACAAGCGATCCTGGATGTCGGGAGGTTTTTGTATGGCGACAAGTAACGCGACTGAATAAGCCGCTATTACCGCAACCACTAATGATCTCAACCAGGCTCATATCAAAGAAAACCTCGTATTTAACTTATCGATACTTCACGAAAGCCACGAGAGATTTATAGCAAAACCTGTTCTATACGATATGGCAAATATATGTACCTATATATAGAAAAGATATAATTGTGGTTCTGACGTAAAATTATAAAAAAATCAGTAATGATTTACTTAAAAACCCTAAAATATAATCTGATTAAGAGCGAGATAGGAATAATACTATCAATTTAAATATAAAGTTAACTATAATTTGTAACGTATTTGATATACAATTTAAATTAAATGATTTACATAAAATTATTAAGCAATTTACTTACACACATATTTAATCATTTAATATATTTAATATGCTTCCATTTAAAAAGGACACGTGCAAAGCTAGAATCGATATTCTTTATATGGGTCATTGGTCACAACAGAAACTAGGCCTGTAATAGAAATATAAATACCATGCCATTGTGATGGGAAATATGCTTAAAGAAATTCTTATGCGAATAAAAATAATTGATGCCGCGGCACCAGACTGTCTAGCCATTTAAGGACATAAAGGATGATATATTACATATACATTTTCCTCATACAATTTGTTAACTTTCACATTAGTTATATACGTATGAATTAATAATAATTTATACTTGAAATTAAATTAAAATTTTATTTTTAAGAAGAGTAATTAGAACTCGTTTTTGACAGGTGGATTTTGACAATGAACAACTTGATATTGGCTGTCGTAATATAATATGCACATATATTATTAATTGAAATAAATTTTCATATAAATATATGATCCTGAAATCAATGGCAAGCTTGTCTAAAAGTATCAAAACTTAAGATGAATTGTGAAATAAAAAAAATTAATCATTTTTCTAAAATATAACGCGTTTTATGTTTGCAACTGTACCGCTAAGATATACTTTCATATGTACTTTCTACATGAATTTTATAAATTACGTTACATCACACCTAACACGGTAAAACGAGAGCCAAGTTGATATATTCAACATTAAATGAAAATAATTTACTATACAACCGCTTGACTCAGTTGTACGATTTGAAAATTAAAAGACCATGAAGTTAAGATATGATGTGTGTATGGAGAATCAATAAAAACAGCCAAGGACACTCAAGAAGAATATGTTACATACACTCATTATTTACTTAGTAAGATGTAACTTTACAGTTTCAGACTTTATCTTCCAGACAAAAGGGTTACTTTTTGTTTGTCTTCAGATATTATTGACAAAAAATCTATAAGCAGATGTAACATAAAGCAAGAATTATATCATACTTTAGGAACTTTTTATTTCTTTACTGAGTCAGTCACTAGCAAAACAGTAACATGGTTCAAACAATTTCAAATTATACGAACATGCTAAAAATTCATACAATTGGAAAATATATAATTTTAGAGAGTGTTCTATAAACATTTAAATTACAAAAAAAATCACCTGCATAGTATTAATTTACAATACATATTTCGAAATCATAACAAAGAAATATTATCAGTGAAAATATACAAAAAAATCTAATCTAATCATTACGATTGTTACAAATAAATGTAACACTCTTTAATGAAATATGATACCATCAGAAATTTATCTACCTATATTCTGGTTTATAGGTAGTTCTAATAACAGAATTTTGGTCAAATATAAGAGAAAGGACCAGTCGTATGTATTATTTTTATTATTTTTGCCTACTAAAGTCGTTTCTAAATATATATTATGTTATGTACGACTAAATAGATCATTATATAGCCCAGGAAGTTCAATTGAGTTTATTGTTATATCAATTAACACGTGTATTTACCTAGATGACACCATCGCTTGTTAAATATCTACATTGCATAGTTTTATTTAGAATTCTGACTATGGTATTAACTAACGTACTTTGACTGGGTTTAAATTGAAAGAAAAGTATGTATGGACATATACGACTTTTGTAATCTCATTTAAAATTTAATTTTATCAACAATGTGTATATCTATACTAATATTATAAAGCTGAAGAGTTTGTTTGTTTGTTTGTTTGTTTGAAAGCGCTAATCTCCGAAACTACTGGTTCGAATTGAATAATTCTTTTTGTGTTGGATAGTCCAGTTATCGAGGAAGGCTGTAGGCTATATAACATCACTATACGACCAATAGGAGCAAAGATATAGTGGTAAATGTGTAAAAAACGGGAGTAATTATTTCATCTTTGAAACCTTCCGTTGCGTGCGCCGTGAAAACGGTTCAAGATACACAGAAAATATGTATTAAAGAATAATAGCTCTTTTAATGATCTAAAAAACAGTCCAGGACAGTATATGTCTATCTTTTAAGATTAACTCACAAAAACCGTTTTTATGTACCTAATTTGGTGGAAATAATTTGTTTAAGTTGTATCAACATAATAATATTAATCTTTATTCAAATAAACAAATAAATATGTTGTTGGTTAAGAGTACTTCATTGTAAATTAAAAAAAAACATAGGTTTTATCCTGAAAATTCTACGGGAACTCAACCATTCCGAAAACCCCGCAAGAACGGGAACTATGTGGGAAGAACCAAAAATCTGCCGGAAGTCACTATTCCACGAGGACGGAGTCGCGGCAAAAGCTAGTATTTAATAAATTAAGGTTCTAACTGAAATACTTACTTATAGTTATATACATTATTAAATTATTTACTATGAAAGATGCACAGAAGAGTTAATTTACATATATGTTTTAGGAATAAGATAACCATAGGCTTAATAACTGGTAGTCGAAAATAATATTTAAGGTCACTTATTGACTCGTGACATTTTGTCACCATTTTATATCAGGCCAGAAGTGGCCCCTAAAGCTATTCTCCAAAAAGACTCTATCAACATTGACATTAACATAATCTTTCTTATCTTTATAGACACAGGATTTAAATTCCTTTGAAATTGATGAAATATTCTAATAGAAAACTTTACAAAAGTGCACCTTAAGACTAAGAACTTAAAAGCTAGTAATGAATTAAAGGACAAAGTAAGGCCTCGGCCTCGAATTTTGCGGGCAGCGGAGCGGCGGCGGCGGCGGCACGGCAACGCATACTATTCTCCAAACTAGCGATCAGCGGGCACCGCTGTATTCGAGGGTCGGTCCATTTGATTATATGCGTAATATCCTGCCGCTCCCGCTGCCGCTCCGCTGCCCGCAAAATTCGAGGCCGAGGCCTAAAAGGGTCTATTTTACAGACACATAGTGTTCGAAAACAAAAATGAAGAATTGTACGTGACTTTTAAAAGAATCTAATGTATTTTTTTAATTATTGTTACATAGGATTTAATTTATTCTATTAAACCTTAGTTAAATTACAAGTTGTCGAATGATTCGCTTCATAGACAACTGCCTATTGTTAAGTTAATCACTATAAAAGTTCCCATGGAACATTGAAAAGAATGGTCAGGTGCCTTTAGAATGTAGCAATTCGTTAGTATTGTTAAGATGTGTACTTCATAAGGCATATATATACCAAAGAACGTATAAATATATACGATAAATAAAATAAATTTTATCATTATGTAATTATTGATTGAAACATAGCAAAATGAATCCACATTAAAATATGCAATCAGTGATAAGATTGTAATAAACAGTGGAAATATCTAATTTATAATGCACAAAGCTAAATGAAAACAGACAAGACAATTATCATTTAAAAGAATATGATTTATGAACAAAGTGATTTGGTGCGAAGTTTTTAATTATTAGGTGTGGATAAGAAATAAAAAATATTTTTCTTTATAAAATAGAAGCATTGAACTGTAAAAGTGATAGGCATTTAAAAGCTTAGTCTAATCGGATTTGGAGACTATTACAAGCTAGTATGTTATATTGATTTATACGTACACACTGACAACCACACCCTCAACATTAGTAACACGCGTTGTTCCCATTCAGAACCCCCTGTCTGGCCTTCGGGCGATTTGTCAAAACCCCGACCTACCCTCAAGTCCCCTACGGTAGAAAAAAGCATTTGAATAATCAAAAATTTAGAAAAGTATCACCCTAACTCCTAACAGTTGCCACAGGTGAGTCAGAGCTATGGAAACAAAGTTTGCGGTTGTGGAAACAAACATCTAACTTAACTTACACCACTCAACGTATAGAGACAGCTTTTATTTACATTAAAAAGTACGTCGAATAAGGAATCGCTCAGAGCATCAGTGTAATTTAAAAAGCTATCACATTTTCCCAGCAAAAGGTAATCTGATGGCTTTTGCTTTACGCAGACATTAATGCGTGTCCACATTCAAGGGGAGTGACGTACTCTAGTATATTGTACGGTGGATGGGAATTATGGTATGGAGCATGGGACTGATGCAAATGAGATCATTGGTATACTATTAAGACTCTGAAAAACACGATTAAATACATTGAAATTATATCGCGAGAAAGAACTTTATCTTTATCAAGTAATCGATTGATTTGGAAGAAGCAACTTTGAATATTAGTGCAAAAGATATGTCCATATTTCAAATAAATATATCTGTTCATTGTTCTTACAAACGAAATAACCTAGCAAACCAGCTGAAAAAATTCTAACATATTAATAGAGATGCGCAAAAATATGAAAGTGAATGTATTACGGAACAAAAGTTCGCTGTTTTATAACAGGGGGACAACGTACGTTAACAGACAATGGCTTTTTAGTCACGCCATACAAACATACAAAGGACTCGCACACAATATGAAGAAATAAAACACCTTAAACATTAAAGAGGTCGGTAAGAAAACGGAAATGAATGCTGGGTGAAGATTCATGCGTAAAACAGATATATGCTCTCATTATATACACATCTCATTATGCAAACTTAATCAGGTATGGGTTAGTGATGATTAATTTCAGTATCAAAAGAAACCTAAAAGAAACTCATCACAATGAAATCGTTTTTTTATTAGCACACTAAAAACGGTGACTCGATAGATCACTTCATAAAGGGTCTGCAGTATACTCCAATCAATGGATTCCAAGTGGTGCTTGTGTTAATATCTTTCCATTTTCATAATTAAACCATTTTCATACTAGTATTCTTCCCGCGGCTATTTCTGTGTCAATAGTTTCTGATAAACATCGGTAACCTACATATATATGAAGAAACATATCTTACTATGAATGTGGCCTTATAAATGATAGCTTGGAAAAAAGGTATATAAAAATAGTAAAATGAATTGAGTCGTAAATTTAGGACTGGATGATAGTATGAAGAAATTATAAACGTCAATCTTAGGACGTAAATAAAATAAAAAGATTGAAAATTGAATACAGCATCACATGTACAGATTTTATCTCAGTTAATCTAGACATTCTTCAGTTATCTACCGATAAATTTAGTAATTATGCCACTCAGATATGCATTTGTTCTCATTCTTAAGGTTAGCTGATAGAAAATATTTGCATCAACCTCGCGTTATGTGCATCCATGCATGCATGCAACAACAAGCAAGAATGTTTGAAATATTACTAATTGTTAACATAACCATTAGCCCATTAACGGAGAAACTTTTTAGAATTAGGTTTCGTATTTTTTATATTCTATAAAATATTTGATGAACACAGAATTGCCTTATAATAAATGTATGCAATGATTTACTGTTCTGGCTAAACTACCACTGATTAATAATTAATTGTTGTATTGAGGTAACTAACTACCTAGATATTCTATAAGCCCATACAATTTACGAGCTCTATGTTAAACTAAACAGGTAATCCTAGATGAATTTTAAGATAATTTTGTTATAATAATATTTCCATACAAGTTACAATTAAATTATAATCACAAACGAAGCAGTGTAACAATATAAGGACACTTCTTCAAGTAGCATATTGATCCCAACCCAAAATTTAATTTAAACGTTAAAGGGAAGTTACATTGAGGGATAGTTGAATTGATAAAGGCCAGCTTCCTATGGGGACATCCAAAACTTGTCCTTAACCAAAATTATCTATAACAAAACAAAAAGTAAATTTGAATAAATACTTCGTTTATACGATATGTTACGAAAAAATGAATAGAAACCTTAAATTTTGGTCAAAAACTTAACGTTTTATAGAATTTTAAAAATGTATTTGGAGTTTTTAATATATTTGGGAACCGAACCTTAGTCCAAAAAAAAAACATACTTATAATCGGACCCCTCTAAAACAAGCTATGTATGGTCCAATGAAAAACATCGCGATCATGCAATAATGCCGCCGAACACGTGGCCAGCCCCTGGAATATATCCCCAAAACAAATCAAATCTTCACACCTTTATCTATATAATAATAAAGTATACTTTCCTATGACACAAAATTACCCCATCTAGTAAATCACTTGAGGCGATGCAATTGCAACGTGGATCGATAATGCGACTGATTCAAACGTTCCAGTAATCAAGTGTTACTATAGTTTCGGTTATTATTTTGTTCAAATATCAATAATATTAATAATATAATAAAGTCCAAATTTCTATAAAAATATTATAAAAGCACTGCGGTCGTTTGTAAGGAAGTTTTGACGTGAGATTATTCTTTCAGACTCAAACTACTAAACTAACTTTAAGGAAACTTACAAAAAATTTTGCTTATACTGCAAAGGGAAGCAACACATTATATATAAAAACGTAGACTTGATTTTATTTCAACATTAACCTGTGAAACAAGAAGGAAGCGAAATGTATGTAATATTATTCTAAACAACTAGGATTAAGTCATCAAAAAAACAATAAACGTTGTTATTTTAGCTATGAACCATACCATGAACTTGGTATCGATTTCCTGAGAGGGCAACGGCCACCGCTGAGCTTTACGACTTTCTTAATGCTCTTGAAATCATATAAATGATTCTTATTCGCAACATTACAGAGTACATAATCGATCTATTTAAAAAAAAATTAAAACGACAGAATTTGGAGCACGTTCAACATATGTCACGCTATAAAACACAGCTTAATAAATATGCTGTCACTGTGTGTCGTAAATGCTGGCGTCCTAAACTTATGGCCTTATACGGGACGGGCAAGTGAAATAAGATTTCATTACGTTTTGCAACAACAAACATACATACAAAAAATATACATTATATACTTTTTAATACTTTACGAAACGTTACTTCATTGTTATATTTTACCACTAAATATATACATTCTTATATTCGGAATTACTTCTTTTAACTCTCAAAGAAAACTGAGCAGTTCCTATAGATAAAAATGTTTTAAAAATTAAATTCAACGAAAGTATTTTTTCTATCAACTATTATAAAGCATGTATTTAACGATAAAACTTAAATTCCACTCAATGTTATAGCTACAAACTAGTTAAGTGGACGTTAAAAAATTCAACCACATATTAGTCATCACATAAACCTAGTTATATACCAATGAATATGGAATTATGTCATCAATATACATAGAAATGTTGTTTCTTAATGTCAAATAAAATGATAAAATGAACAACTAATAGTTATTTTTAGAATTATACTATTATTTTATATCTTGATTTCTTTTTATTTTTTATTATAACAATATGTATGTCGGCCATCTTGTTTCACAGATACACAATTAACCGTCCCGATGATTTCGGTCGTGCCAGACAGACAGTCGAAACAGATTAACTAATAATTTACAACTCCCTACCCACCACGGAAACGTTATTTATTTTCCGGTATACATTTTATTGGTTACAATAGTTTGATGGGCATTAATTAAATCATTATGGCAATGAGATTCACTTAAATAAAATATATTTGTATATTTAAAAATAATTTTAAGTAGGTTTTGAAATAAAAAATATTTATTAATTAAGTACTTAAACATTCTCTCTTCCTTACTGTGTATCCCACATGGTGATGGGGTCAGTCTTCTCTACCTTTTAATTAAATTAATTAATTTAATTACTTAAACATTACATTAAAAATATATATATTAGAAATATTATTTGATGATTTTAGTCCTACAAAGAAATAGCATTTACGTAAAATATTGATAGCTACGAGTATGCAATTAAAACGTTATTGATGTACGAAAGTTTACGAACGTCTACAACATAAGTTAAAAATAAACCAATTAAGCCGTCTCAGGCTATCACCCTGATCAAAATAGAGGAGTTATTTAACCAAAAATACTTACAATAACTTAAGATTTAATAGACAATGTATGTTCAAATGAAACTAATATTTCGGATATACTACGCGACTTTATTATTGTAAAAAAACTATATAATCCTGACGTTTCGGCTACATTTCAACAACCATGATCACAGGCAGACACAGTTGTATAGTTTTTTACAAATAAAGTCGCGTAGTATATCGGAAAAATTAGTTTCATTTAAATGAATACTCGCGAAAGTCTTAGATCTTATTAGACAATGTATGGTGTATATTTTGACTTAATTGCAGTTTTAATGGCCAATCTAATGAGTCGAGACTTATCTATAGATATATAAAAATGGATTGCTGTTCCTTAGTCTCGCTAAAACCCGAGAACAGCTGAACGGATTTATCTTATCTTAGTCTTGAAATGTTCGTGGAGGTTCAGGGAAGTTATAAAAGCTGAAAAAATTGATTAATTACTGGGAAAACCATAAAAACAGCCCTTTTCTATTTCCCATACAAAAGTTTTTTTGACATTACATTTGACAACTAACTAATAGTCAATCATTCTGTCGCACTTCGAAACACGGAGATTTATGGCTTACAGGTAAACTCCAAAAATATAAATAAAAAAACCTAATACATATTTCTTGATTATAGGGCGATACGAAGTTCGCCAGGTCTTCTAGTATGGGATAAAGTTCCATATAAAATGTATACTGTCGTATTATTTCGAAAATGCAATAGGATATCCTCTGTAGACGCGCATCAATTTCCTTCATCCATTTATCTTCAATAATTATGTACCTTGGAATATTTATTTTCGGTTATTTTTTGGACTAGTTTCAGCTCATTTCGTTTTATACATATTATTTCTTAGTATCTAAGTTAGTCATTTGTCTATCTGTTTGTTTGAGCTAATCTAATCAGCTAATAAGCTGAAACAGCTTGAGCTTGTTTCTTAAACTGATAGAATCATGAAGCAAAAACGCACTATTTTTATGATTGCCGTTTTTAGAGTTAAACTAAGTCAGGCTCTTTTTTTTCCTGATATACAGATAAATGATAATATAAAAAAATAGCTTAAATAGAGTTAATTCCTCTAAAGTAAATAACATACAAAGTTACTTCATAGCAAGAGATATATAACAATAGGTAATAATAATAAAAAAAAAAACAGAAAATTCAATAACGTAAAAATTACTTTGTTAAACTGAGAACTATAATGTTTACTATTTATTTACTTCACTATTAATATTCATATATGACAGGTATTTCATTG